CTAGTATATATTACTACTACACGTAGCACGCGCGCGCACGCGCGCGCGCGCGCGCGCACACACACACACACACACACACACACACACACACACACATACCCCGGTGAGAGTGCTTCTTAGAGTTTGGAAGTATCCGAGTTTCGCAGGGGCTATTCGATGGGAAATACAGAAAACTCATATCAACGGTAGAAAAATTTATAAATGCTCTATCACAATTACCAATAGAATGTAATGTGCACCTGGTCTCGCTTTCGTAAGAATCGCTTCCATTTTGTACGTTACGCGGTACGGCGCGTTCGGTTTTCATCCCTCTTAAGTTCGTGGAGGGGTGAGTTCGCCTCCTCTATAAACTGCCTGTTAATTTAATTGCTTTTTCTTACCGTGCAATGATAAAAATTCTTTAAATGGCGGAGAGACCGCACGATCAATGCGACCTCAAGATTCAATATGTAGACGCGCTCGACGATTTATGAACATTTTTCTATCTTCTTCGGGGGATTTTCTTGAATTTTAATATCGTTACTCACACGTTCGTAACATCGCGCAAACGTAAATATCGTCGACCGCCGTTCGGTACTATTTGCGATGTGTGAAAGTTTTGTGCCCAAAAATATCGAATTCGGAGGATTTAAACAGGATATCGACGCCCGCGTTGCCTCGTTTCCCCACCCTCTCGTTCTCTCTCGCTTTATCGCGATATCGGAGCCGATCATTCAGCCTTAAAACCGCATTTCACGCCTTCAAACTACACGCCAAAGTGGCATCGAGCATTCCCTTTCTTCTTTTCATTCCGCGCGTTTCCTTCCCGCCCTCCCCCTCTCGCTCAGCTTCTTCTACCGGCCCCTCCCCTAACCCCGGTATATTTTCGCGCGGTTCCTCCATTCGTCTTCATTCGAGCCATCGGAAAAGGGGTTCGTTCGAGAGCCTTTTATCTTTCATCGTGTTTCACGGCCTGATGCTTCCGGGCCAACGTCTCGTTGGTAGGATTCGGATTTATTTAGGGACATCGTGAGATGCCAGCGAGTTGGGGAGGTATACAAGAAACAAAAAGGAAGCGAACGGAATAATAATGAACGAAAAGATTAATGTATCCTGAGGAAAGTCATCTCTAATGCAGTAGTAGAAATATGTAGTGGAATAAATGTAATTGGATGGAAACCGAGAGAAAAGGAAAAACAAATAGAGCTATTTAAGTTGTAAGATGTAAAAAAAATTGATTGTTTCCGTTGGAGCAGATTTCAAAAGCGCGGGATTGGAATAAAAGGAATGGGTTTTGATGTTCTTCAATCGAGACGACGCTTCTCGAAGACGTATTTTAAATTCGGCATTTCAATCCGAGCGGCTCTTGCAACTCGATCTTCCGTTCTCTCTTTATAATACGCGGCCATAAAGAAGAGAAGCAAACTCGGAGAAATATCCGAGAAGACACACCGTCGAAGATCATCCGGTTTGGAAACAAAAAGAAGGTCAAAGACGGTTAAGTCGACGACCGAAAACAGAATGTTAGAACTTTGTGATACCTCTCGAGGAGGCGGGGGGCGGGGAAACTTCGACGAGTTTTCGGTTAACTTCTCCGCAATACTTCTGCTCCTTCGCTCTCCCGCCACCCTCCCCGTAAACGCTACGGGGGTAAACTGGCGCGGCGATCGTGTTACGGAAAACAATCGCGACGGACGGTGTCTCTCTTAATCTCGCGGGCCGTCTCGCGCGCCGCGTGAGAACTCGCCCCCCTGTCGCCCTCGGATCGAGCACCACCGGACTTCGGAGCGAAATCAATTGTTCAAGACACATAATGCCGATTCCCGACACGTAACGTATCCCCGGACGTTTTATTGATCGCTCGAGTGTCGCTATCCCCCGCGCCAGCGAGTCGCGCTTCTTCGAGTCGTTTTGCCGTACGAGTCGATCGCGCCAGGGGGTCATTAGCAAACACGCTTAAAGCTAACAGACGGCTGTCACGAAAATGGACAACGCGAACGCTACCCCTCGACGGGACCTCGAAATTGTTCTTGGTCTACGACGACGAGTGCCTCTCGAGCCGTACGTTCGAGCCTCGTTTTTTCGCCGGGATCTCGTGCCGACCTTCGATCGTGGCGCACGCGACAGCCATATACTTGAACGCTATCGGGGTGATGACGACAATGACGACAATGACGACGGTGACGACGGTGACGACGTTGATATCGCTTCGTCTGCGGAGGATGAGAGACTTCTAGACACAGCTCTCCGGCAGCCTGTTTGCCATCAGTCTTCGTTTGATCGCTTCGCCATCGAGGCACTCGCCGGCCACGACGACGCCTTGCCCGCCGCCCACGACGACACCCTGGGCGCCGCCGATCACGACGCCCTGACCGGCGCCCACCATCATCCCCGTCACCGGCATCCCCGGCAGGCTTGGTATCGTGCTCCTCGACGGTAACCTCAACTCCGTCGGCCTCCCCGTGAACTTGTGGCAGAGCTCGTCTATGCTTGGCGTAGGTCCGGGCGTGACCCAATGTCCCGGGGGATAACCACCCGGATAACTCGGCGGGCTGACCTCCACGAGGTTACCCTCTAGAACACCGAAGCAGACGGGGTTCTCTGTTGGGAGCTGCGAATCGAGTGGGTTATGGGGCGGAAACGCGGAGAATAAGTTGCGCTCAAGGGGGGTGGTTTTCTTTCTATCCTCTGGTTCCTTATTCTTCGCCGATTCCTCATTTTAACAACGATAAAGTTTATTGCAACTAAAATAACGTATCTTCAACGTTTGGCGAACGGAATAATATAGACATTTCATGCCTCTTTAAGTTTTCCAATCAATTTTTCTTTAATGTGCTATTTTTGTATAAGAATAAAAGCAGATGCGTGAAAAACTAGCATTCTAGAAAGACCATTCTATTCACTTCAATTTTGAAGATGGAAGAAGGCTAAGTCTTTTTCTTCTTACTTTCAAACTTCCATGACGTGCACTTTAAAAAGTATGGTGGTGACCAGCTAAGACCGCGGTTAAAAGGGTTAAATAGAAATTTCTTTCCTTTAATCAAATTTGATTGAAAACCACGTGCAACTTTAAAGTTTCAAAGTTACATAAATGGTAGAATAAATGAAAATGAGTATAAAGAAGTTATACAATTTTAATTTCTTTTACATATTGAATTAAAAATTACAATTTTTCGCAAGGAAATGTCATTTTATTTATCATCTTGCATAAATATAAAAAAGTCGTAAGTTTTTTCTGGGAAGGAGAAAAAATAAAATTTACTGTCATTTATCATTTATTTAATTTAATCAAATATTCCGAGAGAGAGCATAATTAAAATTTAGTATAATAATAATTTAGTATAATTTTTTTTTTACATTAAAACAATCATAACTCAAACACAAGACCTTTCGATAAAACATATTCACAATCCGCAAGTCTGGTTAGCTACGAGGGAGGCACGTGCCACCCTCTCGTCTATATGAGATCTACCGTACGCGAGCAAAACGATCGTAATCGGATTCGCGGAGGCTGTTTAGCAGTATCAGCTTCGAGGAAGTTCTTACCGAACTTGTTCGGGATCACGTCGGGATCAGTCTCCACAGTCTGTTGAGAATTCTGCAAGGGGTATTGTTGGGGCGGTAACTCGCTGAGTTCCGCCGGTTTCTCGTGCCGCGGTTTTGCCACGCGGTTTTCCCGACGCACCCTGACCACCACAACTAGGATGATGAGTACCAGGGTCACCAGTGCGCCGACCACCACCCCTATCAGCGGTGACAACATGCCGCCGATGCCGGCGTCCTGACCTGCAACGACAAGATAATACGATCGTTACCTTTTCCGAATCCTCGATCGAAAAATCGATTGGAGCTTACGTGCTCGTTCAGATGTCTCATTGATTATTCAAAGTTTAAATGAATAGTGACTTAAATATCTAAATTATAGAAAGAACTTTCGATTTGATGGTGGTTTTCTTCTCTTTTTTTTATATGCATTTAAAAAAAGTTAAAAAATAATGAATGCTACACGTGGCGTAATTCCTTTTTCATTCAAAGTGCAGCGATCGATTATTTGATCATACGAATGAGTAAGAAAAATTTTTATGATCTTTAAAGCATTAAATATAGATTGTCTCTTTTTGTCTTCTTTAAAATTTGAGGAAAATCGTCTTAATAACAACAGATATCGCAAATCATGTTCCAGTTTCCTTTCTTTTTGTTTATACTATACTATAAATCGGCACATACACGTGCGATGTTGAATATTTAATTAAATCGGAGTCATAGGGGCTGCAAAGAAAGAATTGTTATTACTTGTTGTTGAACCCAGCGGTTGAAGAGTAAAGTTAATGTGGATAATCTTCCGCAGCGGAGGATTAACCACGCCGTGTCGTCATGAAGGGAAAACGTCCTACTGCGGCGTCCACCCTCCTACGTTACTTACGAGTTCTGTTCATTTTTTTCGGGCTTTCTTTCTTCTACGAGTCAGCTTTGCTACGAGCGTAAACAAACCCGGGTCGGTGTCGCCATGGGGAAAACATTTTATATTCTTCAACGTCGGGATTACATTTGCGCGCGATATTTCTTTTGCCGTGCCGTTACACGATTTTACAAATTTTACCAGTATTCGGTACTTTCAAATCATTTCTGGAATCTCAAGTGGTAACAAGCGCCTGAAAGATATTTTTATCCCGTATAGAGTCCACGAGATGTAACGCCGAAAATAAGCTAGCAAGCGCAATCACGTAAACTTCGTTTATATTACAAGGATTAAGTTATATTAAGACAAATAATTGCTTCATCCTTAAATATCAAATGTAACCACCTATCTGGTTAAATTCGCTTGTTTGTCTTATAAAGCGAAAAAAGAACTAAATACTAATTTTTTAAATCCACCTCTTTCTACTCTGTCAGAAACGTAATTTATACGCGGGTATAAAATCATAAATAAAATTTTATTTTGAATTCTACTGATGAATTTTAGATCGTGGGCTAAAAGTGGGCTAAAAGCCCGCGTACACAAAAAGAGAACGAGAGAGAGAGAGAGAGAGAGAGAGAGCTCCCTACCCTTTAAAATTTAGTCGTGCAGGACCAGAGATGTGTGATGACACGT